ACTAGTGAAGACAATGTGATTGACAGGCATATTTATTCAATGTTCTGTTTTACGACAGAAAAAACACTTGCATATCCAATATGTGAGTAGGGTGTGGATGTGGAGTGTGGGTATGGGTGCGGGTGCGGGGTGTAGGTGTGGGTGTGAGTGTGGGTGTGGGTGTGTGGGTCTGAGTGTGGGTGTGGGGTGTGGGTGAGTGTGTGGGTGTGTGGGTGTGGGTGTGAGTGTGTGGGTGTGGGTGTGGGTGTAATATTTGTTAGACATCCACACCCACACCCACACCTGACACCCACACCCACACCCACACCCACCCACACCCACACCCACCCACACCCACACCCACACCCACACCCTTACAGATGATACGCATCCTTATTACGTTCATCAATAGCTTTAGTATAATATTCTTTAGACAAATTTGCTCTTCTCATGATTCTCCACTATATCAATATGATGTGTGTAAACATATGCATCAGTGAGATCTAATACGAGTGTAATTCAACACAACACTACTAATCAAAAATAATATAATTTGTAATGTGATATAACTTATTTTCAGTAATTGTTTGTTGTGATTCTATTTGAGAAGGTTGCAACTCGTCACGTGAGGAGTTGAATTTTTCAAAAAAAACAGCTTTCGTAACGCTAAAAATAGGGATATACGAGAAAACAGGGATATCGTAACAAAATTTACAGGGCAATTGTAGCTGTTATTTACAGAAAGTTCGTAACAGTCGCAGAGTTTTCGCAACGAGCCAACAGGGATTTCGTAACAAAAATTAGGGGTATCGTGACGAAGTCACATATCAAACCACTGGTTACGATCACCCTGTAAAATTCGTTATGATAGCTCTGATTTTTTGTTACGAAAGCCCTGATTCTGTCGTTACGAAACCTCTGTTACGGGCTTTCGTACTGTCAATTCGCTGCGAAAGCCAGACAAGAAAAATCGTGACGAGTTGCAACTTTCCCTTCTATTTTATCTAACAAAAGAAATCTATAAAGGAATCGAGCTAACTAAAATCGGTTTCAAAAATCTTTTTTAGAGCGCAATCGAAAATCAAACATCCAACACTAACGTTGATATTATCAGACTCAACACAGGATAGATGCTGTCAAGTTGAACCGCTGGAAATTAATGCATCATTAATAGACAAAGATTTTTTTGTGCGTACACATCAAAAAATTTTTAAGTTTAAATAGGGAAAAAGCTTGTTTAATAAAAAACATTTTTTTTCTATATAATTTATATAGGTTGTTCTTATTAGGAACTTTTTTTCGCTGGTTGTTCTTATTGGGCACAGTGCTCCCAATAAGAACAGACGAGTTATTTTTAAAATTTTAATAACTCGGTTATTATAAATTGAAAAATCTGAACCGTGAGATTATAACTTCTTGATTGATAAGGATTATTTTTTGTTCCAGCAGTATTTCCAAATTTTGAAGTTCAGATTCAAAAAATTTTGTTTACTAAAAAAAGATTTTTTTTCTATATATTTTATATGGGATGTTCTTGTTAGGACCATTTTTTGGCTAGTTGTTCTTATTAGGAAAAGCGACCCTAATAAGAACAAATTCAATTACTCATCAAATACCGCTAATTATAGGTTTAATTTACAAAATAATAAAATAATTTTTGCATCATTCGATGCAGCAAACATTTCTGCACTCAGAAATGTAAAAAAAACTTCATAATTTTAAAAACTTCATCAGTACAGAAACAAATTACTGACACCTCTGAAAAGTTTGTTCTTATTAGGGACATCGACTGTAAGCATATAGATTGACTCAACTTCATATTGAATATGAAAATAAAGGAAGGAAAAAGAAATAGGTAAATATAATAAATCGAATAAACAAATAAATTGACTCAACTTCGTATTGTATATGAAAATGAAAGAAAGAAAAAGAAATAGGTGAATATGGTAAATCGAAATGTTTTTACATTCACCTCGACAAATAAAATCATGTGAAAAGAAAAATTCTGAACAGAATAGAAAAGTCCGCTGGAAGAAAGAAACATCCTCTTGTCCGTCATATACGTGCAATAGATTATTTCTCTGATTTAAATCTATTCATACGTACTCATATTCGCCTCGATAAATAAAATCATATGAAAAGAAAAGCCCTGAAGAGAATAGAAAAGTCTACTGAAATACAGAAACATCCTCTTGTCCATCATGTATATGCAATAAATTATTCCTTTGATTTGAATTTATTTCATCGTCTCTTATATTCATCTTGATAAAAAGATTCATGCGACAAGAAAAGTCCGCTGGAACATCCTCTTGTCCATCATATATATACAATAGATTATTTCTCTGATTTAAATCTATTCAAATGTTCTTATATTCACCTCGATAAATAAAATCATGTGAAAAGAAAAGTCCTGAAGAGAATAGAAAAGTCCGCTGGAATACAGAAATATCCGCTAGTGGAGTATTTATATTTTGCTCTTCCTATCACTACTGATATACGTGACATTTCATAAGGTACGTAAAGTCCCACATATTCATAGAGGACTTAAGGTAAAGTGGACATTTTTTGGACCTTTGACATTGCTGAAAAATTCTCATGTAAATTACGATTTTCTTAATTGTTTGTTTATACATTATGGAAATTAATTTTTTTTTTGATTAAATTAAATATTGATAATCAATAAATTGTAATTGCTCGGTTTTGTTTATTGTGAATAATAGACATTCTTCAAATATGTCTTATCTAACCTCAAACTATTCATCAAAAATTCTCAACTATTTTACTATGATATAACAACTAAAAACAATAGCAGTCATTCATTTACTAGGAATGAAGTAAAACGAGTTATAACGGACTTATAATAGCCACAATTCTATACATTTTTTCTCCTCAGACAAATGCTTGAGCATATTCAATACTAAAATATTTATCTCAATATTAATCAATATTTTTTTTCTTCAATTTAAAACATGAAAATAGATTCTTAGAAAATCTATATAATATTAATAAATAAAAACAAATTTGAAAACTCTAAAAAAATTAAATGCAAATCGTTTTATACGAACGATTATTTCAATCCGAAAATTTTTCTTAATTAAAGATATTTAAAAAACAAACACTTGAAATACATGGTGTTTGGAAATTCATTGACCAAAAAGAAAATTGAATATCTTCATTACGGCTCAAGCAAACGAGCTGATATTTTTGTCAATGATAGAGGCATGTTCAAAGTTTATATCTATAAAGACATGCCTAGAGAGATCCTTTTTTATGTATCACTATTGACCTCAACAAAAGAATTTTACTTTTTCACAGATAGAGAAGAAAACAATATACTTAACAAAGGGTCTCTCTAGGCTTATCTTTATGAATATAAAGTTTGAACGTACCTCTATCATTGATAAAAAAACCAGCTCGTTTGCCCGAGCCGTAATGGAGATATTCAATTTTTTTATTGGCAAAATGACTTTTGCCCCACTCTGTATATTGTTTTTTCCCTATCTGGGAAAACGTAAAATTCTTTTGTTGAGGTCAATAGTGATACATAAAAAAGGATCTCTCTAGACATGTCTTTATAGATATAAACTTTGAACATGCCTCTATCATTGACAAAAATATCAGCTCGTTTGCTCGAGCCATAATGAAGATATTCAATTTTCTTTTTGGTCAATGAATTTCCAAACATCCTGTATATTAAATAATAAGAATAAGAATTGTTATCTTTCAAGGTTATTTCTTCAAACACATAATTGATGAGTAACATCACAATAGTGATCAGGTCGTTACGTGAAGAAGTAAAACATGATCCGTAGAAACATGATATACTGTAGCTTTTCTAGCGGCATATAATTTGTATGACTCGAAGAACATGAGATAATTTAGTATCAAAATGATCAGGATAAGCAAAGCTATAATTTATAACAAGTTTCGAGGGAGTTGCATGACCAGATGGTCAAATCTCATAATTGGATTCATTAGAATTCACTCAATGCTACCAATAACAATTACATTCCTATCTCAATATTCTGATTCATCTCAGAGTTCTAATGAAATTTCTCATACACTTTTTGCTTCTTCCACATCATCTAGGCATAAAAGTAAATATACATATATATATTTGATTTCTGAGGGTGTGGGTGTCGGTGTGAGGATTGCTCTGGATAAAGAGAAGAGTCACACCCAAACCCACACTCACACACTTTCGCACGTGACACAGCTTGTATAACGAATCGATCGATGAAAATCTTGCTGAAGTCCTCTTTTTGAGGGGTTTTCGAAACCTCAACGTCTGATAGTTTTGATTTATGATAATATCAAAGACATCATTTGATAGAGCAAGTCGAGCTGCACCAATATATCTAGATTTCAAAAGTGGCACGGTCTCTTAATCGAATAGTTTCAAGGAAAACTATTTCATTTTGTTTTGCGCTGTGATGAAAAACAATACTTTTGCTTTGAGTTTTTTCTGTGGTAAATTTTCTTAAAATCTAAATATGCTATCTGATAGAACTGATCAAACCATATCTGACACACAACATCTTACGGTTGGTACGGATGTGTGCGCGAATCACTCTCAGAAAAACTCGAATCAGACGCTAACTTCACTTTCATTTTTAGAAAGGGAAAAAAAGGTATATTTCTGCAGCTCGACAGAGGTAATGCTGGAAAAAGCTTTCCTACCTCAAGTTTCAGCCATTTGCAATGAAAATCAACTTTGGAAAAGCTGAAATATAACGCGTCTCAGGAGGGCTCTTTTGTTTAGATGATTAGCACATCAAACACGGTTCTGTTTACTGTGCTCCAATTCTTAGAGTATATTTTGAAGGATATGACTAAATTTCTAAAAACCGTAGGCAACATTCTGTCATTTACAAATGAATATCCAAAAGGATCATTCAAATCAAGAACAAGATACAGAAAATTGATAAAAAACTGAATGCAGAAACAGAGATGCGACTAAAGATAATCTATATTTATAAAAGTACGTAATATTGACTGTCATAAAATTAATCAAAAAATTATTATTTCCATCTGCATTTTTTCTTCAAAGTTTGAAATGCATTTGTCGTCGTTTTCCCTGAATTGAGACCTAGTAAAAAAAAAAGAAGAGAAAATAAATAAATAGAAGAACAAGTCGTTAAACTTCAGATAGTATAAAATAGAGCTCTTTGCAAAGCAGGATAAGGCAAGTAAATTCAAGCTACTCTAAACAGATTTGGAAATTTTTGCGAATATTTTCTAGTTATTTTCAACAAAAATCAATAGACTAACTGAATGAAAGTTTGTACTAAGTAAAAAGTACATCTTTAATAACTGCAAGGCAATAACACAAGACGCTGATTTATTCTTGATCAACTGTTTACCTTGATTTTCTACACTGAATGCTTGATATACGTGTCTTGCTTGATTTTCATTCAATGTTATCATCGTTTTACTGTGAGCTGGAATGAAAAACTCGTTGTTATTCTTGATATCATACTATAAAAATAGATAGAAAACAACACGATTCTTAGACGAGGAATTTATTGTCAACATTTTGCACACTATTCACTTTATCACGAAGTTTCTGTCTTGCTTCTTCATGTTCTTTTTTCCTTCTATCTTGTCTTTCTTTCCGTTCTTTTTCTTTAACTGCTTGTCTCTTTTGATCAGCCTAGTAATACCAAAATAAGATTTGAAACATTTTAGAACGCAACATTTTTTAAAAGAAAAACTATTACACTTACAAGCAGATCTTTACTAGAAATGCCAATATCTTTCTTTTCTTCTTTGACAATATCACCAACGCCTAACTCTAAGAAATGACAGAAGTGTAATGATGATTATTACTTAGTGAATATCGTTCATACCTTTTATAACTTTATCAAATTCATTTCCAATAATTGTTTTCATAAAATGAGAAGACATTATTTTGACTCGTATTACTGAAGCGCACACACACACTCTTTAGTCGAAAAGTTTTACTTTATGTTTCTTTTTTAACCAAAACAAAAAAACAAAATAAAATAATGAAATATAATAATATCCACGCGGTGTTTTTTTTTCGTTCTTTCATCATACATATTCATTCAAGCGTATCTTTCTTTTTCTTTCGTTTCTTACATCTAGTGACACTAGTTTCACACAAATGTAAGAAGAAAGAACAAAATGGACGTTCTTGTATCATTTTTTACACGAATCGAATTTCTGTTTCTTTTTACCTCTATGTTGCTAGTGTTCTCTGCAGTAAAGAGTTTTTATATCTGGAAGCAACAGCAGTGACAATCTCGAAATGAATGATACATTGCAAGTTTCTCTGGGAAATTACATAAATACATAGAATGTCGCTAAGTCCTCATTTGCTTGGCCATTTTTTTTTCCTGTTTCTGATATTGTGAAAGTATGAAGTTACCACTAAGCTGATCTTATTTAGTATTGATAAGATTAAACTCTTATTCGAATCGATATGTAAGAATTTCATTTGAAAAATAGGATTGAAATCCACTCACAGTGAATTTATTAAATAATAACTAATTACGTTAGTTTAAATCAATTTTAATTGATTATTTAATTTGAGATTTCAAGATAAATTCATGTCGAAAGGAATATTTGTCAGACGTATGGAACACCCATATAGCTGAAATAACTGCAGTATTCAGAAGAAATCAATTGAATCTTTTCACTTTATAATCAATGATTTTGATTTCATGCTTAAAGAATGATTAACAAGATAATAACCAATTTTGGCTAAAGATCCGATTGAAATCTAAATACTTGATTAGAATTGATTGCTAATCTGTCGATTCGATTGAAGAGCATTATACTTAGGTGTGTACTACAACCAAGACTAATACTCGTTTCAAAAAAGAAGGCAGATGAGTATTTTTTTTGCATAACTTTCGATAGAAATAAGGTAGAGATTTGTAGATTCACTCATTTACGATTTATAAACCAAATAAGTCACTTAAAACAGAAATAGCAATCAGAATCATCATTGAAAATCTCTTCATATGCGGAAATAGTAAGATTGCTAATGCTATCAAAATATTTATGCAAGAAATGAAAGGAATCAGCATGCTATGTTATTGTTCATTTTCTTTTTGATTTACTTGCAATGCTTCTGAGCTATTTTCAAATTATTCTTTTATATTTCCAATTGTATTAATACCTTTGCTCCATCTCTATTTCTTTCTAAATTATCCATTAGTTTGAATTATATTGCAGAGCCCTAAAAAGTGTTTTACTATATTAATAAATAAACACGAAACGCGTCGAAGAAATTTAATATCTGCATTAGTGTTTTGAATTATTTCAATATAAGCACAGCTTAATTTTAGCTACAGAAACATGTTTCGACTAAATAGTCGGTTGCTGAAAAGCAAAACTTGAGATTAGCAACTTGATTTGT